AGCCCATCAGCCTAGCTGATTAGGACACTGGAGAGCCCACCTAATACCTTTCCCTTCTCTCCCGACTTTAAAGACAGAAAATGAAAACTTCATCACTCACACAGAGGGAAATCGGCACCTCTGCACACAGTCTCAAGCCGTGCTTCCAGCCAGAGTTCCCCCTTTATAGAGCGACCCCGGAACAGCCAGAGGTTACATGTCAGAAAGCTGGAAGGAGCTCTGCAAACGTCTACAGTTTTCAACTTTGATTTCCTAGTCTAGCAGCTTTCCTTTCACATCCTCCTTTGCGAGTCCAATGGAGGAAACCTTGAGTGCGTCATATCTGCTTTCGTTTACCATTTACGCAGAAATGCGGGCACTGCAGACGATACAAGAAAGAAAAGCCAAAATGTTTACCCCAAGAGGCTTCCATTTTCCCGAGGGCAAGAGAAGCAACTGATACAGGCAGTCACAGGACTGACTGCAAAGGCGTGCTCTCACACACTGCTACAGGCAAGGCAAAAGGACAAAAATGTCTCTGGAGACAATTTGGCAATAGTGCTTTAAATGTTTAAAAGCCCTACCTTTGACCTATGCGCTGCCCTATCAGGGAATTTCTCCTTCAGAGATAATCAAAGATGAAGGATTCTGTACAGAAATGGCCATCACACAGATCACTGTCTACCACAATGAAAACTTACAAACAACCTCTACATCCAAAAGTGGGGATTAGCACCACAAACTACGGAGAAGCCATTAAAAATAAATAGATATTTAACACAAGAAAACAGCCACTACGTTAAGTTAAAGCACATTATAAAACATTTATACTATGATGTCATGGATATTTTAAAAGCATATTTACGTATGTGCAAAGGGGGGAAAAGACTGAAAAACATACACTAATTTTCACATTGGTTATCTCTAGATGGCATCATTATATAATTATTTTCTTCTTACATTTCTCCATTTCCTTAAGTTTGTATAACTGAATATGGATTATGGGGTAAAGTTTTTTAAAAATACATACCAACGTCGTTCAAACTACAAGAAAACGATAACAGTAACAGCCACTGTCTATTTAGCACCGAAAACACGTGAGGCACTGTCCTAAGTGCTATATGCTAATTCATTTAATCCTACAACAAATACGAAGGGCCTGCATCGTGGTGATGCCCCTTATCCAGATGGTAGAGCTGGCAAGAGGCAGAGTGGGACAGAAACCCAGCGGGCTTCAGGCCAATGTGCTTACCGGCCCTCCGAAGCAGAAAGCTGATATTCATGCGCAACCACCAGGAGGTGAGCAAGGCCCTGCAAGTACACAGGACGCTTTTATTAAAAGCCCAAATCGCAGTGGGAGAGCACGCCCGGCTGGCTGTTCAGCGCCCGCCCCAGCACGACCTGCTCGTGGCTGCTCAGCACCACGTACACAATTCCCGGGAAGTGAGACAAACTGGGTTTTCGGTGAAAAATTACTCTGAGAAGTGGCCAGCTGCCACTGATGGTGATACAGGTGCAGAGGCCTAAGAAAGTAATGACTCAGCTAACAGATATAAAGCTGTTAAAAACAGGTAAAAAATAAGATGGCAACCAAGTCAGCAAAGACTCACATCTGCAAAGTGAACAAGTCCACCATTCACCCTGCAAAACAAACACCAAAGTGCCACCAAAACAGTCTCACAGAGTGAAAGTCAGAACATTTCCTCCTCAACAGTCTCACGGTCAAGGGAACAGTTTTCTTTCACAGTTTTAAGCACTAATAAACGACTATGGCATTATTTCCCTTAGGTAGATCTTCCCGTTCCGGCTGACCTGTGGTCATTACAGACATACATTAGTTTGCAACTGCTGACGATTTACCTAATCACACAGATTAGTAATAAAGTGAGTAATGCTACATCCCAAACCGGACACCACCTGCTTCTCCAGGAAGGGTCCAGAACCAGGGCTGCCTGCAGCAGTGGAAAAGCCCCTCACTCAGGGCCAAACACCAGCTCCGTGCCCCAGCTCCACACCCCCAGTCCCCTCAGCAGGCTGCACAGCCCCGGCTGGCCTTTCTGCTTACTTCCAGCATGGAGATTCTCACATCCACCCCCGCTCCCCAGGACCTGCTGAGCGCACAACCTCTGGAGATGGGTCCAGACATCAGTATTCCTTAAAAAGCCCAACAGCAGCCCTGTGGCTAACGTTCACGCAGTTAATAGTGAGAACTGATGAGTTAGGCTGCGTCTCCTTCCTGTAAAACAAGGACTGTAATAACTCAAAAGACGAAGGAGCAAACTAAGACAACACGTGGAAGTCCTTTAGAAAGTGTTAGAAATAACCAAAAACAGCACGCTATTGAGAACTGAAATCAGGGGTCAGGGAAACTCTGGAAAACTATACAAAGACAGGACTTGGTCAGCATGAGCAACCTTCTCTCTCACACACAACGTTGCCTGCATGTCCAGGACAAGTTCTGTCCTTGCTACACGTGCTAGGCAAATGAGGGTTTCCAAACACAATATTCCCAAGCTGGAGAGAATCACGGTGCCTGGCTCCTTGTATCAGGAAACTTAACTTTCTAGAAAAGTTCCAACTTTATTTATCAAGACATAATAGTTCTAAACAGGGTCATCTTACATCCTTATTACACCATTAGGAACATGAGAAAAAACCTAAATTCTTATCAAATTCCATACTATTTAAGAAAGCAAAAAAGTCAAACAAGATGCTTGCTAGGAAGCAAACATATGAAAGATGAAAAGATCATCCAAGATATATATGCTGTTTTCCTAAACACAGTTTTCCAATTTTTAAGTTTTTTTAAATTTTCCAAATTTAAAAATGTTTTCCAACTTAAAATTTAAATTGCTTCTCAAAGTTTAACAATAAATGCAAATCGTACAATATTCCTTTAAAATTAAAACTCCTTTCATAATCAGAACTCATCAGGGGAATAATGCTTGATTTTCCACAGCGAGTTAAGATGTGTATGTGTTAAAATAACTGATAAAGTAATTATGACGTTCAGTTCCTCTCTTCCTTTAAGAAATCTTAAGACAGTTATTTTTTTTAATAAATTTATTTATTTATTTATTTATTTATTTTCGGCTGCATTGGGTCTTTGTTGCTGTGCGCGGGCTTTCTCTAGTTGAGACAAGTGAGGGCTACTCTTCCAGTGCATGGGCTTCTCATTGCCAGGGCTTCTCTTGTTGCAGAGCACAGACTCTAGAGCACAGGCTCAGTAGTTGTGGCGCACAGGCTTAGCTGCTCCGTGGCATGTGGGGTCTTCCCGGACCAGGGCTTGAACCCGTGTCCTCTGCACCGGCAGGCAGATTCTTAACCAGTGCGCCACCAGGAAAGTCCCCTTAAGACAGTTTATAATGGTGGTAGACAAGAAAATACACATACCAAAGACAGGCAGTCTGTTACAAACACAATGCAGTCTAAACTAACCCCTGGAAAAGCTACCTTGACACTTATATAGAACAAAAGCTAATCTAGAATTCAAGCTATCAATCTTGAGTTTCATGTTTGCAATTTCAAAAGCTTTCCTGTCAGTCTCTTGTCTTCCAGCATTTTGTGAAAATGAAGTGTGCAGAGCTACAAAGTGTTTCAAAAGAGCAAAGTCCTTCCCTCCTCACTCCCTTTCCATGTATTTTTCTTTAAAAACACTGGGAAACCGCCCGCCACACTGTGTTCCATGTGTGAGGCTGTCTTTCAGTGAACAGGCCTGTCCCTTCACATCACAGATTACAAGTCTGGAAGCCCAAGTTGAGTCCATACCATACAGAGCTCCTTTTTCAGAGTGACTAACAAATGCATGAGCTTTCTGATGTGCTTTTTTAAATTATTACCTCTTATTTAATTTAAAGTTTTAAAGTTTAACTTATAACTGAGCTTGAAAGAATGTTAACTAAACTTGCCTCTATTGTAAATTTACTGGAAGAGATATTTAAATACCACAAAATAAAGTCATACTTGACTTTTTCATATAAAAGGAAACCTTTACTACCAACTACAACTGCCAGGTCATCAGTCAATCACAAATATTTACTGAAGGCCTACTATATGCCAAGCACTGTTCTAGATACTTAGGATGTGTTAGTGAACAAAGTCTCTTCTAGAACATCTTTAAATAAACTCAATTTTAAAAAAATAGTAGCTATATAAAATTTCAACAGCAACCTTTGGAAAACTAAGGATGAGATGTTTTGGGGGTTTTTTTCCGTTCAACTTTCTTTAAAACAATACCTTCTTACAAAGTGAGTTTCAAATTTAGTCTAATGAGAAACTAAACTCAATAGTTTGAAGGGGATAATAAAATTCTTCAACAAAGGTCAAAAAAAGCAAAAACTGCTACAAGCATTTATTATCACAGCCTAACAGAGAAACTCAATGATAAACGACAAAGCCCATCCAGCAGAGGAAAAGACGTTTCTGAAACAATGTCTCTCCCACGCCTAAACAGCCACCGTCTCCACTTTGGACTCTCCTCTGAGCATTTTCACTTACCTGTACATGATTTCCTCACAGACATCAAATGCTACCAACTTAGTGTTTCCAATCATATTCATAAAGACAGTAATTTACTCTTATCAAACTTCAACCAAGAGATAAGCTTCCCATATAGCCTTCCTCATGGATTTGATGACTTCTACATTTATTTCCCAAGAAACCTAAGAGGTGGTTCTTGTAGGATGCAATGGTTCTGTTGCAGATGCTTTCATATACTGTTACCTAGAAGCCTGGTATAATTCATCTCAGTACTCAGAGAAGGAAACAAAGGCAGAGAGTGGTAAAGCCGCAGGTAGAAAAGGCAAGATTTAAACCCCCAACTGACTATAACCACATTAGTCTGTAATTTCCAAATAAAAAAGCAGCTACATTTCTGATCTAAAGTCCTATCCCAGGATTAATAAAAACCACACATGGTAACATAAGATGAAAAAGAAATTTCCAGGGCTTCCCTGGTGGCGCAGTGGTTGACAGTCCGCCTGCCGATGCAGGGGACACAGGTTCGTGCCCCGGTCGGGGAAGATCCCACATGCCGCGGAGCGGCTGGACCCGTGAGCCATGGCCGCTGAGCCTCCGCGTTCGGAGCCTGTGCTCCGCAACGGGAGAGGCCACGACAGTGAGAGGCCCTCGCGAATCGCAAAAAAAAAAAAAAAAAGAAAAAGAAAAAAAAGAAGAAATTTCCAGAGAGCTGCTACTGAAAGACTGTATTTAGCACAGTGACAAAATTCTAAGCAACATGGAAATGACACCCACGCCCCAAGACATAGATTAACATGTCCCTAACCTAAACATCAATTGTCAGAGTAAAAACCACCTAAAGGGAGTGACACTTGGAGGACTGGGGGCCCATTTTATTTCTCCCGGCTCCGCCTGATCACCTGCTTAGGGTTCTGAGGATGCGCGTCCCCCGAGAATCCCTAGGGCACAGTTAAAGCTAAGGCAAGTACCAAGGAGTCAGAAAGCGCCCCTGCCCAACAAACGGCTGTCGAAAACGTGTTGTCACCTGCACCACGAGCTACTGTAACCACCTGTCCCCATCGCATCGGGCAAAATGTGGGGCTCCTCCCTGCCCTGAGCCCGCCGTCGCCCCTGGGGAACCCGCGAGCCGAGCCCCGGGCGCCGCCGCTGCGGGCCGTTACCACACCCGCCCGCCTCGCGCCCCAGCGCCCCGCCGGCCCCGCCGCCCCCGCCACTCACCTCCAGGCGCAGGGACGCCCCGCAGCCTCGCAGGAACTCGCGGATGTTGCTCAGGCACTCGCCCTCGCTCCGGGGCTCCGGGTAGACCTGCAACACAGAGCACAGGCGTTGAGCGCCGCGGGTAGGCCGCGAATGCGCCCCGAGGGGAACGCGACGCGGCCCCGGCGGGCGTGCCGGCCGCGCGAGCGACCAGGGCGGGCTGCCCCGGCGGCCCGGAGCTAGCCCGGCCGCCCCCGGCGCCCGCCCGCTCAGCCGCCGCCTCTCCTCACCCTTTTTCCTTCCTCCGGGATGCACCAATCTCAGCCCCCTTCCCTCACCAGGAAGTGGAGCGGCGCCGGAAGTGACGTCTTCAGACCGCGCCCCGGCAGGCCCCGCCCGCAACCTCTTCCGGTCCCCCGCCGTGAGGGCGCGGTCTCTTCTCTCGGCAGCTGGCGGTGGCCTTCCGGCGCGGCCCACCTGGCCCGGCCCGCGCGCGGACTTCTCCCCGCACTTGGAGCTCGCCCTCGGACGCGGCCCACCTGGCCCGGCTCACGCGCGGATTCCCCATCCCTGCACCCGGCGCTCGCCCTCCGACGCGGCCTAGCGGGTGCAGCCCGCCCCGCCCAGAGGGACCCCGGAAAGCTTGGCCTCCGCCGCTTGAAGCAACCACGAAGGGACTGTTGAGAACCTGTTGTTTTCTCAGTTCTTCCCCGCCCCCGGCTCGGGGAGAGTGGAGCTGGAATTCTAATACGATGACTTAGAACAATTAGCGACGTAAATTATGCCGGCTGGGATTAGAGTGCAGTGTTTTCTTTTACTACATATAGACCATGTGCTTCATCAATGATTAGCCAAAATAGCTGGTCACTCGTCAGCGAAAAGTCAGCTGGGGAGAGATTGTGGCGAATGCAGCCTCCATCACAGGTGAAGAGCAGCGAGGGCTCCTGCAGACTCTCTGGTGCTTGGTCCGAGGCAGAGCTGTAAAGGCCACGGCCACACGTGTAAGAAGTTACTGACAGCTTCCCAGGGCAAGAAACAAAGGAAACGAGGAACGGCACCAGTTACACAGAACTATCAAGGGAGAAGCCTGAGATCTCAGAAGAGCTTTTTGTTGTTGTTCTGAACAGCATGTGAAGACTTTTTACACTAAAGTATCGTACAGAATTCTAGCATTTGGGGACGTTCAAGACATTTTGTCCTTCTGTCCTCTAGGGGGAAATCACGACATTCCATTAGGCCTCTCTCAGGAATACTGCGGTTTCATTTCAAAGTGGTCAGGTCTTCTAAAACTACAAAAGAAAACCAGGGTGTTGAGCAGTGCCAAGAGGGAGGAAATGACACTTTTTTTTCTCTACAGTTTAAAAATTCTTAGAAGTGCCAGCATATTTCCCTCCAAATACTGAACAGATTTGTTTTTTTCAGTGGAACTTGAGAGAGAGTGGAACAGCAAAACCCAAACTGCCTTCTACTCCATTTTACTCCTCCCTCACACTGTTTTTGCATACAAATACAATCAATCCTCATTCACGGATTCTACATTTGCAAATTTGCCTACTCGATAATATTTATGTGTAACCCCAAAATCTGTATTTGCAGCACTTTCTCATTTATAGACATGTGCAAAGCAGCAAAAAATTTGAATTGCCTTATGCACACGTTCCCAGCTGAATTTGAACAAGGCCATGCTCTGCCATCTTCTTGTAGCCCATAATGTAAGCAAATGTCCTTTTCACTCCACTGGTGCCACATTTTTCACTTTTTTGTTGTTGTTGTTGCTTTTTCTTGGTGATTTCACAGTTTTAAATGGCCCCCAAACGTAGTGCTAAAGCACTGTCTGGCATTCCTAAGCGCAAGAAGGTTGTAATGTGCCTTACAGAGAAAATACGTGTGTTAGATAAGCTTCACTCAGGCCTGAGTTATAGTGCTGTTGGCCGAGAATTCAATGTTAATGAGTCAACAATACGGTACATCCAGAAAAAGGAAGAGGATATTCGCAGATCTGTACGTGAAGCCGCTCCGGAAAGTGCTAAAGTAACCTCTGTAGTGCGTGATGGAGCTATGGAAAAGATGGAAAAGCAACTAAATTTGTGGATTCATGAGATGACAAGCAATAAAAAGAGTGTAGTGGACAGCGTTGTTGTGAGGCTGAAAGCCAAAGAAATTTACGGTCATGTTACCCAGGGTCAAGAAAATGTTAAACCCTTCTCAGCTAGTGCAGGCTGGCTTGCACGATTCAAAAGGCGATACCACATGAAAAATGTTAAACTTGCAGGCAAGGTAGGTTCTACAGATCAGGAGGCTGCAGAAGAATTTAAAAAATACCTGCTAAGCATTATACATGAAAAGGGTTATATGGAAGAGCAGGTTTTCAACGCTGATGAAACTGGCTTATTTTACAAGAATGTTGGCAAACGAACCTATGTAATGCAAATGGCCTCCAAAACTCCTGGCTTTAAGTCATTCAAAGACTGTGCAACCTTGCTATTATGTGCAAACGCCAAGGGTGACTTTAAGTGCAAACCCCTCATGGTACACAGAGCACAAAACCCACAAGCACTTAGAGGGAAAAACTTGAACCGTATGCCAGTCCACTGGAGATGGAACAAAAAAGCGTGGATGGCGTCCAAAATATTCTGGGATTGGTTCCACAACTGCTTCATCCCAGAAGCTGAACGTTATCTCCATGGCAAAAACCTTGCCTTCAGGGTTTTATTAATTTTGGATAATGCCCCAGTTCATTGCCGTGAAGAACTCGAAAATGCCCACCCCAACATAGAAGTTCTCTTCATGCCCCCAAACACAGCATCGCTTATCCAACCCCTCAATCAGGGCGTGATAAAAGCTTTCAAGGCACACTACACCAGGGAGCTTTATAGCAAGGCTTTTGAGGCTCTCAACGCCAATGAGGAGACCACCATGATGGACTACTGGAAGTCAGTCACCATACGCAATGTTATTGATTATATCAGCACAGCCTGGGACAGCGTCAAGCAGGCTACTATCAACAATTGTTGGGGAAATGTTTGGCCAGACTGTGTGAAAAATTTTGAAGGTTTTGAAGGTGTTACAGAAAATATAACGAGCAGTGTCAAAAACATAATGCACACTGCACAACAGATACGTGGAGAAGGTTTCAGTGACATGAAGGAAGGCGATGTGGAGGAAATTTTGGCAGAAGCGGCAGTAGAACCCACCAACAAAGACCTGGACGAGATGGCAAAACAAGGCAATGGAGTTAGTGATGATGAGGATGGTGAAAGTCAGCCTGAGACTCCAAGAATCGTCCCTCTCACAGCAGCCAAAATAGCAGAATGGAATTCTGCCTTGGAAAAAATTTTCAATGACATGGAAAAGTGTGACCCTGTGCCTGAACGCAGCCTCACGTTTAAGCGCCTCACCTCCACCGCGTTCATCCCTTATGCCGAAACGCTTAAAGATTTGAGGCAAAAAGCCAAGCGGGTGAGGCTGAGGCAGTTTTTCAAGCCAGATTGGGAGGGCAAGTTGCTGACACCGTCACCAAACTGGGAAAGCCAGACTCCTGAGGCAGAGCTGCCAGATCTCACAGGCCACCCTCCCTGACATCTTCCTTCCTGACTCTCCCTCCGTTCCCGTACGGCAAGCCGAGGTCACCAGGTTTAACCCCACCGTGCACTGCCCCATCACGTGTCCCATGGCTCCATCAACAGTAAGGTGGTTTCCATAAATTTTAAATGTTTAATCTTTGGTTAATTCTTTTGGGGGGGGGCTTTCTTTCTTGCATTATGGTGCAGTATCCAATATACGGTGTGTATTTGTGTGTGTATGTGAGCAGTGAACATGTGTACTGTGTATGTGACTGAATGGAAGAGCTAAATTAGAACAGTCACACTATGGTAGACTACATTACATAATGCTGTAATTGATATGGTGTTTTATTATAAAGATATACTGCATGTAATTATTTGTAAATATATATATATATATGTTAAATAAGCTATCTTTAAACAAATACACCTAAAAACAAGATTACACATTGATTGGTTGACCAGATGTTGTGACCAGAGGTTCAAAGGAAACTAACCCTGTATTTCTCCATGAACAACGGTTCAGTAGTTGCTAATTCAGTGGTCATGGTGCCCTTGTATAATGTAACTACCACAAATAATGTAATCAACTCTACGTTTAAAATTATTGATCCATAAGGATCTAATTGTTATGATTTCTCTTCTGAATTGAGTCAACACAGCTATTGTGAGTTCACAAATGATGGAAAACATGTTACAGTTCTTGATAAAAATTATTAAATATAAAATGCAAATTTTATTTGGAAATATATATCTTCATGAGATGTATAGGGATTTTTTAAAATTAGTTCATTAACCCATGGATAATCATCACTTACTGCTGGCAAGAGATATGGACCAGCGCCAATTCTATTCCTATCTTGGGTTTTTCTTAATGCAAAAACTGAGAAACCTTGTTCATAAAAATAAGCACATGGAAATGGAAAGGAGTTTTGTTAGGATGGTTCTTTGAAGCCTTCTGAGTTACATAGCCAAAGTCCAGATATAATCTGTCACAAATAAAAACTTAAAATCATCAGCCAACAGCTTGATTGGGGTCTCCTTCAATTTCTGTGAAAGCTAAGAAGTACAAGCCTGAGCTGCAACATGCAGTCATCAGAGTCACTCCCCTCCCAGCACCGGGACCCTTTGTGACAGCTGGGCGGCCTTCCACCTGGCAGCGTGCACCTCGGGAAGACAACAGAGGGTAAAGTGGGAGAAGGCCATTGTGAAAGGGGAGGTGGGACAGTCGGACCAGTGTGATGCTCTCCTTGCTCAGAGACAGCTGCTCTGGCTCCTTGGTTTTAGTTGAGCATGGATGCAAGCTGAGGACCTAGAAATGGAAATGGATTCCCTTAAAACTATCCTGAACTTTACCTAAAGCAACATACCTGTTTGGAGAACTGTAATGTAAAAGAGTCAAAACTTTATAGTAAGTAGTTCCTAACTGTAACACACATACTGACCGTGAACAAGCCACTTGACCCCTCTATGTCTACACCTCTATCTCCAGTTTAAGGCTGACACATTCAGCATTTGTCAACAGGGCTGTTGGGAGGATCAGAT